GCAGCGATGTTGAGTAAGTGCGCCACTAGGTGGCGTTTGAGCGCTTCGCGCGGATATCCGCTGCAGATCGTCTAGCGTCGAACTGGTCTACAATAACCCTGGTCTTCTCATTCTCATGGCAGCATATACATTCAGGTGCCGTACTCATTAATTCAGAAACACCACAAGAACACCAGTATTTGTCTACAGTCCCATCGGGTACCGAATCTTCCATTCCGCCATGTTGTGACTGTTCTGATTCTTGATAAGTTTGTGCCGACTCTTCGCGTTGCTTTTTCAGACGATTCTCCTCAATTTCTTCTTGTGTATATTCGGGCTCAAACCTATATCCAATTGGTAAATCACTATAAATATCATCATCACCTGCGTAATCACTAGAATCATTGAAATTATCGCTTTCTGTTTCCATCTTATACACAACACTGAACTTGCGTTAGCGTGGCGTCGCTCAACTTGGGGCCGTGACGTCACATGACCTAGATTACTATTCATGTGTTTATTACTAATTGGGTGCCGGATTTGAAATGGAATACGTTATTGAATGTATTTCTATGTATAAAAACGTTACAGAAATTAGAAAATTTGACTTCAATTGTCCTTTAACATTAAAAATGTAAAGATTTTACAAGCCTTTAAGGTCAAGTAGCGACAACGACAGGGCTGTCGAAGCATGACTACTTCACCGGCGTTCTTGCGTTTATCTCGCGGAATGTTGCGCGCGGCGATCGAAACCCCCGCAAGAGGCGCAGCGGGTGACGCACGACATGCGTATTAGCATGGCGACGATTACCGTATTACCGATTTATTGATTACCGATTTTTGATTATTGTCGACGTTGATCATTGACTTACCGCCTTTGTCGCTTGCAGGAAAGTACCGGGAGTTCCACCGACTGTACGAGAGCAACGACATGAAGGGGGCCGCATCGCTGCTGCTGTCCCTCCTGACCTGCAGGCTGGCGCCGAGAAAGTAAGTGAGAGCACGCGCGCTCATGGCGCGTCCGCTACCATCAAGTCGCGCTGGTGGTGGTGGTGGTGACGTCGTGATGGTGGCGGTCTGCTGGAGGGGTGTGGGCGGGAACTTTGAACTTGCGCGGGCGAAGGTCTGTTCGCGGGTCGCGGCGGAGAACTCGGGGGGGGGGGGAGGATTGTCGGTGTCCTGCTATTTTTTAGCTCGAGGTTTGTGGTGACGATGTTTAGGTTTGTCGCCGTTTGACGGCTGTCGACTCTTGGGTTTAGATGTTTGGGGAGTTTTGCGTATTATCACTGTACTACAACTGTCGACTCTTGAGTTTAGATGTTTAGGAAGTTTGCGTATTATCAGCTTCAGATTTACATCTGAAAATCTTACATTGAGATTTTCTTTAATTGAGTAATAAAAGTTTTTCTTTCGTTTGTAATAATTATTAGGGTGCTTAATTCATCGACGTAAAAGTAAAGAAATTTCTAGACTGTTCCGTGGTACATGCAAGTTTCCTATAAATGACTGAGGACAGCCTCGCGAAATTCTTGAGATTCATCTTCGTTTGCTAGCGGTACAAGCGGTGATGTTGCTGATTTTATAGGTTCTGGCTGAACCTACTAGTTGATGTTGTGCCTCTCCTGGAGATGGAGCCACTGCTGTTCTCTAGCAACGACACGTACGAACTGCTGCACTTACTAGAGGACGTGCAAACTGCACAGCGACTGCAGATAGAGGGCAGCACCAGGCGGGGCATCGAGTCTGATAGCAAAGCAGAGACTCGTCGCAAGGTGCGTGCAGTTTTACCAAGATTAAGATGATGAAAGCAGATATAATATGACATAACACAATATTTATGAGATAATAATTTGTATGGTCTATGTCTGATTTAACACAGGATGCTGCATGTATGCATAAGGAAATCGGTAAAAATCAAACTTACAAGACCGAGATCGACTCTGGTTTTTCTCTGGTGTGGTATGCATGCACTCGCTTTTCGTGGTAATCGTCTTATCGTTAGTAGTAATTTACTGTAAATTACTAAGTAACAGTGTGGAACAACCACAAAACTTGAGCAATTTTTGAATAACTTTCCGTATGATCTACCGTTTTCGCAGGGCGCGTCGTCTAATGTAGAGAAGGAGAAGCTGGATCTACTTAGACTGGCGCTGGCAAAGAATCTAGCGAGGTCGTTCATCGTAGAGGGCTCTCTAGCTCACTAGCTGCAGCATCGTCAAGTTTGTACAGCGTGACCCCCCTCTCTGCCTCCCGACTTCCCCCTCACCTCTCGACCCCTCGTCGTCTTTCTCAGTGACTGCTTGTTCCATTTCCCGAGATCGATTCTTTTATTTTTTAACGTCAGGCGAGGGTTCGTGCGGTCACCGCGGCGGTTCGTCACCGTGACGATGACGTCCTGGATGAGAGGCGACCGGAAATTGATAGCAAGCATCCATCTTGAGCCGGTAGTGATTGCACACCTGTCGTCTGTGTTAACCCTGTCACTACTGACCGCACCTCTCTCACCAGATGTGCGTCGTTGTGCAGACAATACTATTGCTATTTTGCGCCGGGAAACGAGTCTGAAGGGAATTCAATATGTTCCGTTATTCTCTCTTCTTTGTCCGAAGGATGGTAATTTATTGGATGTCGGTGGCTCCGTGATCCTTATAGGGTCACTAAATTATGTCTGTGAGCTACGAATTCACGATGTAATGGGGGGTTTCGTTGTTATTTGCCATGCACGACTGCCAGCGGAAGTATTTCGTGAGAGGTGCAGTTGTATAGTAAGTAATAAATGTATTTTATATGAACACTGATGTTTATCGAAATCTGTGGGAATGTTTGAGAATATCCACAATAATTTTAAAGAGGCTGAGTCACAGGCCATTAACTTTTGAACGAAATCCGGTCACGTCTCTGACTGTCTGATGCGAGATTATGTTAACGCAAGAATCTTCAGCTCATTATTAAAATAATTGTAAACAAATAAAAGTGATCGGAAAGTAGGATCGATAAAGTCGATCGTACGACATACGACAAAAAGGAAGAGTGAGCTTTTCTCAAAAGTCAAAAGTGGTATTTAATACATTTTTAGATTTGTACACTGTATACACTTGGAAGATGTATGAAATATCTAGAGCACGAAAATTCCACCACAGAATAAACACGCTAAACTGAGCTTCTACACGACTAAAAAAAAACCTGAAACTGGCATTTCTTCGTACTAAATACAGACGTTTTTCTGGAGGCACAAGGTTTGTACACTGTGCGCACTTACAAGTTTCACGACACACGACTCCTCTACGGGTGAAAAATCGACCCAACCGACCGTACTCTTGCGTGTCAGTACCAAATTTGCAGCCGAAAAACAACCTAGAAAACTTGGGCACGACGAATACAAGCTTGCACGATGAAATGAAGTAAACACGTCATACAAAATTGGCATCGAATTCTACAACTAAAATACCAACTAAACGTGTCTAACAACGTACTACGTACTAAACACTGGCGTGACGGTGACGCTACAGCCGCCGCCATCACCACGGCGACGCTACAGCCGCCGCCATCACCACGGCGACGCTACAGCCGCTCCTGTCGCCGACGCGATCCCCGAGGCGTCACGACGGGTGTCAGCACGCGTCGTACAGGTTCACGATGGTGAGCCGGACGGACGGCCTCCCGGCAAACGCCTCCTCCGCCGTGCACCGGAACGCCGCCAGCTTCTCCTCATCCTCTAGTACCTCCCGCGTCGCATCGTCGACGACGTAGCATTCGAGCGGGAACGACAGCTGCAGCGCGGCGAGCGACGCCAGCGCCGCCAGGTGGCCGACGGCATCGCGCGCATCGTCCCACGCGCAGCCGTTCGCCGAGACGTCGACGAATCGCAGCCGCGTCGCCGCGCGCGCCCGCCGGCACAGCGACGCCACCTGGCGGCCGGTCAGCGCGGCCGCCGCCAGCTCGAGGAAGACGAGGGAGTCGGCGAGCGACGCGACGAGCTCGCAGACGTGCGGGAAGCAGCGGCCGCCGAGCGAGTTCTCGCTGAGGTCGAGCTCCCGCAGCGTGGCGGCGTGGCGCGACGCCGCCAGCGCCCGCACGTCCGCCTCCACCAGCACGCACGCAGACGCCTTCAGGTAGAGCAGCCTCCCGCCCGCCGCCACCGCCACCAGCACGTCCCCGAGACGTCCGCTCAGACGGTTGTTGCTGAGGTCGAGCCGCTCGAGGCGCGGGAGGCGAGACAGCATCGCGGCGAGCGCGTCGGCGGCGCACGGCTGCCGCTGCAGGTCGATGGCGTTGCTGGAGAGGTCGAGCGCGGTGAGGGAGGAGAATCGGGCGATTGCGGGCGCGAGGATGGCGAGCCCGCGGCCGCCGATCGTGTTGTAGGGAAGGCCGAGGCCCGAGACGTCGCGAGGCGACATCGCGGCGAGGACGGCCTCGACCCGCTCGCGGCCGACGCACGCCGCGAACAGCCGGCAGACGTGCACCACCACAGCGCCGCTGCTGCTGCTGTTGCCGTCCCCGTTGCTGCCGCCGCTGCCACCACCGCCACCCCTGCCGCCGCTGTTACTGCCACTGCCATGGTCGCTGTCACCGTTGCTGCCGCCATCGCCGGCGCCCCTGCTGCCGCTGTTACTGCCGTGGCCGCCATCATCGCCGCTGCCATCACAGCCACCGTTGCCGCCGCCGCTGCACGCGCGGAGGGAGTCGGCAAGGCGCCGTGCGGCGCTGATGCGCAGCAGACGCACGTCGAGCAGCACGTGCGTTGTCTTGGCGACGCGGCCTCGGCAGCGTCCCCCCGGCGCGTACACCGCCGCCGCCGCCGCGAGGTGGTCCACGAACGGCGCGTCGGTCGGCACGCCGCGGAGGTCAACGACGCGCAGACGCTCGGGGAGGCGGCGTCGCCGCGACGACGACGACGACGTCAGACAGTCCCTGAGACAGTTCATCAGCGACGCAAGACAAGCGTTTGCTCCGTCCGCGTGGAACCCGTCGCCCGCCGCTGCCGCTGGGGGGAGCCACTTGGCGTAGTGTCGGAGGCCGACGTTGCGCGGGAGGACGTCCGCGAGAGCGAAGCGCGCACACGGCCACGCGTCGAATAGGACGCGAACGGCGCGGTCACGGCCTCCCTCGAACGCCGCCGCCATCAGCGTCTGGAAGAGCTCGCCGGGGACGCGCGCTGCGATGACCGCCGCCGTCGTCGTCGAGTCTCGGACGACGTGCCGCGCGCACAGGCGGCTCAGCGGCGCCACCTGCCGCGCGTCCGAGAATGCGTCGCAAGGGGTGCCGAGCTCCGGAGCGTAGAGGGTCCTGTACGCCATGGTCGCGCGGCCGAGCGCGCGCAGCACGGACGTACGTGCACTGGCGCGCCGATGATGGCGGCCGAATGACCGAAGAGTCTACATTATTTATAGTGTAGAGTTACTTGTAATTGTATCACCACGTCACTTGGATGGGCCCAAGCCTAGTTTAGCACATATGCGAAAATACATTTGAGGGGTCCCAAACTATCCTTGATACTTGATTCAATACAAGTCACTCGTAATACTAGTGCTAGTAGTAGTACTAGACTAGTAGTAGTAGGCCTAGTATTAGTACTAGTAGTAGTAGTAATAGTACTGCCAGAGAACTGGCTCAGTAGCTGGCAGTGGCAGGATATGGGCGAGCCACTTTCTCACGAGACGTGGTACGTGTTTCACGTAAAAACATACAAACTGTCGTGCACACCATCTTCAGAGTCATTTGTCGAAAGCATACCGACTATTCGATATACATGTCATAGATAGTGCATATTAAGTTTAACTTAAACCTATCTTTAACTTAAAAGTTAAAGTTCACGAGATTTACACTCAAACGCAACACGCGCAGAGACTAACTCCACGTACATTCACCTGTCCCAGTTTGCGCTCGGCCCTCGTTCCAGTGTTAAGCAAAACGACGTAGTTGTCCGTCTAGCAATATAACACGTGAACGCCAGTGTTTGAGTTCGCAAGTATGGAAGCCACCGTGGCAATGTTGCATTGCTTACTATTAATATTATTATTATTTTTAGCGGTAGTTATTCACACGAAAGAAGAGCCTTATTGCGAAAAACGATCGGTCGACGACGGGGAGTGGCATAGGTAAGTCACACAACGCAGCAATGCCAGCATTTGCTTTACGTGAATATATATAAATTATAATAAATTCAAAATTGTAAACAAGGCTTCTGTTACAAGGGCTGCTTTTCAGTTTTCTTATTTACTCAGCCTTCTCTTCCTCATCCCTTTCCTCCTCCTCTTCGCCTTCCTCCTCCTCCTCCTCCTCCTCCTCCTCCTCCTCCTCCTCCTCCTCCTCCTCCTCCTCCTCCTCCTTCTCCTTCTCCTCCTCCTCCTCCTCCTCCTCCTCTACTTCTATACTCCTACTATCATATCCTTCTGCTTATTCTGGGGGCTTCTCCCAGGGAGATGTTTTCAAGCCCCAGCCCTATCTCAATATTAACTAAAATGTTGGTATTGTTCACTAGTGCTGAGAGGGTCTATGTCCCCCATGGTACTGCCGGAAGGTACCCTGGTATACTATCTAATATGCTGGACCGTACCTCGCCTACTCCACTAACGATCGAGTCTAGGGAGTCGCGTACGCCTACTCCCTAACCCTATCAGATAGTTACCAAGGTACGTTCCGGCAGTACCCTGGGGGACATATAGACCCTATGAGCTTCACTAGTAGTGCTAGTAGTATAGCTCCCGTGTGGGGGCCAGCCGGGCACCATGCATACCTTGGCTTGATTGAGGAACACCCTAATTAATTGTCACATAGGTGACAATATAACATGCAATTAAGTGACTTTCGCGCATATCATAGCATGGCGAGATGTGATGCGACGCAACTAGTATGATCGTAGGTTCTGGTTTTGTTAATTTATTAAAGGTAGCAGTTGTGCAAGAGATCAAATCATCTATCATAGATGATAGAAGAGGAAGGTTCATAGAAACCCTTTACAGCACCATGTCTAACGTTGCACAATTATTATTATAAATTATTATTAAATCTTTATTGCATGTAATTGCATGCAATAGGCATCCATCGATCAGGGATCCTTCCATGCGACAGGATGCACTGCGTGCTTTCTGCAATGGCGACGCCGACCGTCTGCTTGTTCTGTATCGTTACATTAATTGTCGCTATAATCCAGTTGTTTGATCTATCTGCAGTGATTGGTGCGAGGGTGACTTGCAGTTAGGCTCTGAGAGATGTAACATCGAGGTCAGGGACAGCTGCGATCTCACACAGGAGCAGTTTCTCGAAGAGTACGCTCGCCGCAAGACCGTGATAATCAGGCACCCGAGAGATAACGACGTAAGCCGATTCGCAGATGATTACGGAAGGTTCAGTGCAGGCCCGTAGCCTATGGGGGGTTTGGGGGTTTGCACGAACCCCCCCTCCTGAGCCCCTCCCCCTTTCGAGCAAAAAAAAACGGGACCCCCCCCCCCGACTCGGTTGCTATGCTCCCTCGCTCGGTCGCTTCGCGCCCTCACAAATTGCCAACATTTAAAAACGAACCA